GTAGATAAGTGGGCAACAGCAATTTACCTTGTTTATCAAAAAAATATGCAAAAATATGAAACGAGGACGATAAAACTATGCATGGATGAGAAAATAAAAACAACAGGCGTCGTGTGATAAGTCGTATCAACGCTGTGAAACGTTTAAATTGTTCCTGCTCATACAGAAAAAAAAATAAATAAATAAAAAAAAATAAGTGAGCAGCCATCGTATCAACTGTATGAGTGAGCTCCTTCGTAATTGCGAACAACCTTTAAACGATTCCTGCTTCTCATTCCGATGTAATGAAGGTTTACAAATGGCGAATGACGTGTCACAGATAACTGTAGAAACGTTATCAATGATTGTTATAAATACAATTGATATTTGGCAGGTGGTAAATGAAGTATAAGAATGTTGAGGAAAATATTGCTGGAATTGATTAACTAGAGGTAATTATTACACAAATAGAGATGAGTATCGATATTAATGGATCATCCTACATTGATGAAATCAATTGAATTCAATTGATTAAATCAAACGTAAATCTGACGTAAGTCTAAAAATTCTGATGGCCGCTATTACGAAGTTGTAACCATGGCAATGATAATTATAATAAAGTTGAAGGTTAATGTTGACCGTTATAATGACATTGTTAGTGATAGTAATGATAATGTTGAAGTTGACAGACAGTAGAGGGGTGAAAGAAGAAGCAACAGTATAATTAATTGGCCAGACTTTATCTCATGTGAATACATTCATAAAATTGATAATGATAATGATCGTTATAATAAAGTTGACAGATGAATAAGAAGTACATTAATATTGAAGAAAACTGGAAGAAACAGGTTAATTGATATAGTATAGATTATCAAAAAAAAAGGTATATGAGTATTTGCATAGAATATGAATGTTTCTGATGCTTCTGCATCGATAAAATCGAATTAAACTTTGTCTTTGAACGATGATTATTCGTTACAAGGTTCGAGAGAACAGAAACCTCACCGAGTTTGGGTGTCTTTAAGACTAGTCAAGGTGACAGGAGCCGATGTTGTCTGCCGCCGCAACGTGCCTGATTTCAATTAAACGTAATCATCATTCGCGAATGCAAATCGATCATTGTTGCAATTAAAATGTTAAATCGCGGTACGAGGAGGGAAAATGAAAAGACAAAAAACGACACTGATGGAAAAAACAATGTGGAGAGCCACTCAGCCAGTTCGTACATCTTTTTCTCTCTGTTTATCTATTCTGTCTTTATTTCTTTAATTTCCACCACCTTTTCTCTCATCTCACTTTCACTCATTCACTCGTTCGCATTCTCTTGCGACCGGATTTTGCAAGTCCATTGTTTATTTATTTGCGTTCAGCTGTACGCGCGTTTTGTTTATTAAATCTCTTCTCTACTTTAATAAGTCTCAATTAATAACGACCATTGCCATCTGGAATGCTTAAAAGACCTTTGCTGGCTTCTTTCCGCGAACGGATTACGGTTTGCATGATAAAAATGATGGGTGTTCAAAGTCCAATATGAAAAATACATATGTATGCATGCATTTTCAATTTTCATTGAGTTCGTTGTAACATTACCACAAAATCAATGTTTATCTTATTTTAGGTCAATTTCACGTGTAATGACTATTGAATTTTATTAATATATATATAGTTTTGCTTAAATCAATTTTCAACGATTCATTGAGAAAAAATCTTTTAGAAGAACACAAAATGTGCCAGTTTTATTTTAATATTATTGAAATATTAAAATAAATTATTGAAATAATGCAATTAAAGTAGAGTTTAAAAGAAAAAACAGTAGAAAACTCGCTAATGGAGTACGCCTGATTTGCTATAGAGGATTGTTGGAAATTGAGTTTAGGAGAAATAAATAAATACTAATTAGTTTGATGCTGTCTATTCTAGTTAATTTAAACTACAAGTATAACTTGTACTACATTTTAAAATTCGTATATATGAATTAGTAAAATCTTGACATATGAGCGATCAATTTGTCGAATGAAACATCTTGATCCTTCAAAGTAGTCAAGAACATCCTCCTCACTACCGGATCGACCATGTAGCATATAATGTGAGACAGCACGAATAAGTTGTTTCTGTTAGACATTCGCAAGACATGGAGTCGTTCCTTGATCTCAACCATCCGATCGGATATTTTCTTCAGATGTTGAGGATCAGTTCGAACCATTCTCGGCCATCGTAGCACGACTTGGAGCATGTTGCTGAACTGATCGTCGGAGGCTAATGATCTCAGAGCGCTTATTAATTCCATGTCGAGGAATCTTCCAGAGACGTGGCCTTGTCTAATGTACGTCTCCCAATCTTCGCCGTATCTGTACAGCTCCAGCTCGACGGACTTCTCAGTTAATTGTTCTTCGAATTTCTGCGCCCTGCCTAAGCACATCTTCAGATCTTATTGATTCACGTCGAGCCGCTGCTGAAACAAATTGGAACTAACTGCAAATTCGCATTCACTGCTAAAATCAGAAAATAAATGAAAAACTTGTACTCTCTGGAAAAAAATTAAAGAAAAAAAACTTTTTCGAAACTGTTATCAGTTAAAAGAAATCGCTCGGTTCTGAAAACCAAATTCAAATTTGTATCGTCGCACCTCCTCCAAATAATACGTTAAAAATTTCATTTACAAAAATATTGTTTTTATTTATTTATTTATTTATTTTTTGGTGTGAAGGGAATAGGAAAATGAGTAATTCAGAGTTGATTAACATCAAAGAGGAGGAGGTGATCAGCGAGGTGAGGCTTGATTTCAGCAAATACAAGGATTACGCGGATTTCATGCGAAACGGTCCTTTATCCGGATTGTACCTCGATCTCGAACTCATCGATTCGTTAATTGAAATTGTCGGGACGAAGGAGTTCCAGGATCTGATATTCGCTATAGTGAATATGCCTCTGATCGATGTAAAGAATCACGAGGATTTGGGGATCGTCGTCAACAGATCGCACATCGCAAAGAAGTATCTCGAGTTTCGCGATTTGGATACGCCGAGGAATGAGTTCGTGCTCATGCATTTGCTATGCTACAGGATTGATTCGGCCTTGCGTGATGATTTCTTCGACGCAACAACAGAAGCGAATTGCGACAGTTTGGATAATCTGATACAATTTTTATTGAATTATGTTTTGAAGTCATCCGATGCATGTTAACTTTGTTATATATATATATATATATTCTTTATGTATGATTTGATTTGTATTTTACCGTGTATATTTTCGAAATAAAAACGTATTTTATTCAACCTTGAAAATCGTGTAGAAATTGACGACCTTACACAGTTTTCTTGTTGCGGTTATTACAATCAACGCGAATAATGCAAAATGTTTTCTAAAAATATCATCAGTAAAATACAAGTTTCATAATTTGACATTTGACTTCTAACGAATACAGTTTAGTTTAGATTCCATCGAAAATAAATAGACTTTTTTCGTATAATCAAATGGAATTATTGAAAATTGTATACTGTTTGACTGATGTTGTTTTAACAATTAATACAAATAATTGAAATGTGTAATATGTTTATTATGAATAAAAACAAATTTAACAAATTTCACTTTACACAACTTTGAAACCTTTCAAAAAGTTGTGTTCATTGAGATTATGACCACTAGTATATAATCAAATGAAATTAACAAAGATTGTCAAGTTGAAAGAATAAAGTCTTCTTCGACGAATAGTTTTGATTTAAGTAAAAAAAAATATATGAAAAACTGCAAAAATCAAATGAAAATCGTGTAGAATTTCGAAACTGTCCTTGTCTAATACAGACTAAAAATAAAATCAGATGAAGAAGTTTGACAAAGAAATTGTAAAAAGTTCCTTTGTAGACAAAATTTAAAAAAAAAAGTAAACAGAAAAAGCAAGAAATTATGAAAATGTCATTATGTATATATTGAAGAAAATAATTTCGTTAAACTAAATCCAAGCACTTTTTTCAACTGATTTTATTCGAGAAATAATTTATGAAATTTGAAAAATAATGGAAACGTTGTTTCATTAGAAGATATCTGTAATAAAAAAAAATTACAGAAATTATTCAAAATTGATGTAAGAACTCGACACAGTATGAAAGAATTCTTAATGACTAATCTTCTTACGGAAAAAACTGAAATATTTAGTATTGTTTCATTGAAAATTCTATGAAAAAAATATAAATTACTATCATGAATAATGAAATATAATAATTACATTCAAAAAAAATATGCTAAATCAAGTAAAATTATAAAATAGAAACCATTTTTTTTATTAAAGATGAAACAAAGTTTAAGCAACTTAACATAACTGATTATACTACAGAAATTACATGTAATGAATGTATACAATAAATTGCATTACAATTTCAATAAGAAATTCAAATTTGATTGAATATTATTATATTGAAAAAGTGAGGAAAATCGAAATATATTCTAGTATAAAAAATTAGATAAAGTGATATCATTCAACAGTAATTTTTAAAATATTGCATTGAAATAAAGGAATACCTCGTACAGTCCGGATTCAATAAAGCACGGTTTGAAAATATAGGAAACAAACTAAATTTTAATTAAGGAAAATTTAAATAATTTCGATTAGTCTAGTTGATTTACAAATCAGTTTTTATTCATATTTTAGACTGAAGTCGGTGGTTAAAATAATAAATAAATCAACAAATATATTGTTAGTTAATCTAATTTTGTGAAATTGCTCAATTAGAAATTTAAGTTATTTGATTAGATAAATATTTTTGGTTTTGGACAAAGTTTCATGTGTAAAAAGCATTTATTTATTATTAATGCTGTATAAAACTTATAAAATAAACATCCCGTCAATATATCAGTTTTGTTATTACATAATTCATCAGAAGTTTACTGAATCGCGTAATCTTCGACATAATAAAAGTATGAAATACTCTATTAGCCAGTTATTTTCTTTATTGTGTCGAAGCTTACGCGATAATTTAGATAAATATAAGAAAAAAACATTTTCTTATATAATTATTATCATTAATACTGTATAAAATATAAAAAAAAAAGGAAACATCTCGTCAACATTATAATTATTATATAATAACATCTGATTAGATGCTTCAACAAAAAAGGGAAGTAAAACTGAAAAATAAGGTTTACACAAAGTCTAACATAAAATCCAACAGTTCCTCCAAGTTTGTGATTCCCTCGAACTGCGAAAGAAACTGAATTCGAGTTGAATCCTCTAGTTTGTATAGGAGAATGTGCATGAGGATCATTTTATTCATAAAGTTGCACGCGTTATGAACGCCCAATTCTTGTTTTGCTAGGATGAAGCTGGTCAGCAGGTTGTAGTAAGCCTCCGAATCAGGTCCATCCAATTTCGGAATGGACAAGATGTGCTCGATCTGATCACGGAATCTCGTATCTCCGACCGTTTCTATCAACGAATCGATGAGGGCGTAGTCCAAGTATCGTCCTGACAACGGACCTTCTTCGATGATCCTCTCCCAGTCGTAACCGTACTCATCGAAAATTGATACCCGCTGATGCTCACTCCCTCCCTCACTTTTCAAACACATCTCTGCAAATCAACACAATCAAAAGATATTAACAAGAAAAACACATATTACACAATTTTACTCACCAATATTTCAATTTTCTTTATATATTATTTCAACGTTGCTTTCCGTGTTTATTATATTTTTGAAATTCACTATCGTTCTCGATAGAATTTGGCGATATCGAAAAATTTGCAACAAAAAAATTGTACCGAAATCTAAGACATTTCACATATTGTTCAGTATTTTCAAACTGATTTCAGTTTGGGTTTATTTGAATATAACTATTTTTTTTTTGGTATATCATGCAAATAAATATTTTTGTATAATTCATTTGTGTAATTCTTTAGGGTTTAGAAATTATCTATGTTTTTATTAATTAAAGTTAATTTCGAGCACTCAAAAATCAACTATAAAAAAAACTGCACAAATTAGGATCGACAGCTACAAAATAAATTATCAACAAAATAAGTTGTTAGTATTTGAACTTAATATTGTATTATGCGTAATTTTTTGAATTTATAGAATTATTTGTGTTGAAAAATGAAAAAAATAAACCATAAAATCTTAAATTCTAATTCTTCTTTAATATTTTAGTAATTTCTCACTGAGAATATAATTATTTTTCTCCTCAATTGGTTCCGTTTCAAACATTCCGGAACCGCACTATGTAAGGCAGTATTTTTCTTTGAATGCAACTACGAGTGTTTTTTTTTTTAATATTTCATCAAAAATAATCTTTTTATTAATACTTAAATCCATTAATATAAATTCTTTTTTAATATTTTGAAACTGTTAACTTTCTTGAGAATCAAATCATTTTTGGAATCTAATAAGTTTGATTTTGAATGCAATTTTCAAATTTTTATATATAATTTTAGTTTTTAAAGCAAATTATAATCGTAGGTCCATCAATAATCTAATAACTTGTATAAATTATTATCAAAAGTCAATGATAAATACTTATTGAAATCCTGTTTTTAGAAACAAATATTATTAAAATATATATTTTGATCAATACAATATTTGATTCAAATTCATCATGAAAATGCTCAAATTTTGTTAAATAATAAATATTGAAAGAAGACTATCTTTTGTTAAAGTTCTCATTCAGACTGGTATGGTATCATTTTGGTAAGTTTATTTTAAAAATTTTCACAAAATTGTAGCAAAATAACTATTTTCTCTTGCTTAAAATCATTAAGTTATTGTTAATGCTAAAACGCAAACAAAATATTAATTCTTCTTTGGTCTTGAAAAAAACTGTAAACATTTATTAATAATTTCTCAATGAGAATGTAATCATTTTTCTCCTCGATTTTGGGATATTGGCCGAACCGCACTATTAGGAATTACTTTACTTTGAATGCAACTACGAGTATTTATTTTATATAAAATTTTAGCAATAAAAAACTTTCTATTCTTAATATTTTGAGTCTTTAAGAAACTGTTAAGATTCTTGACAATCAAATAATTTTTGGAATCTAGTAAGTTTGATTTTCAATGCAATTTTCAAATTTTTATATATAATTTACTTCAAAAAATAATAAAATTAAATTATTTTCAAATATTTTTTCTTCATAAGATATTGATTAAATTGAACAAAATTATATTCTAGAATTATTTAGAGTTTTCAATATGTTTTATTAACAATTAAACTCTTATTCATTTGAAAATTCATCTTGAATTTTTCAGGAAATTTTTCTCAAAGCTGGTAATGATTACTTTTTGAAATTCATTATGTTTAGAAACAAATCTTATTAAAGTTTCTTATGATGAATGTTTCTTAATTAATTGAAAAAAAAAATGATTTTCATACAAAATAAGAATACACTAATGCAGGTGGCAGAAATTCCCCAAAATGTGTTACCAATTACATCCAGGATTAATTATAATTTAATGTGCTTAATATTTCGCTTCTCGTCTCCAATATAATTGGGAATGTAAATTGTTCACGAATTTCTCGTAAAAATGCACAGGTGATGTAATTGGATAGAGATTAGGGAAAGATAACGGAAAGAGGCCTATACAACGCGCATCTCTACCTTAAATTCGCCAACCTTCCAAACCCATTTCCCCAACATAACAATTTTCGTTGCCATGAAAACGTGAGAGCACACGAGATAACTTTTTACGTTGGCAATTATTTATACAATATTTTTTGTTGGTGTTCTTTCTTCCTTCTTTTTTTTTTGAGAGTTCTCGTTATCATTTCGTATATAATTACACGGTGTATCATCATCGAACGAGCACACAGGTGATAAACACAGGTAAGTACGTATGCGGGCGGGTGTCGAGGCGAAATGGGTTCACGCTGTGTCAAATGAGCGTTTTTTTTTCTTTTTTTCTACATTGCGAACAAAAACGAATATAATGTTGTAATAATGTTTGTTAGACGAGAGCCGGAAAATACTTTAGATTAGGACAATCTCCGAATTAAACCGCTATCAGGGATATTTTAATTAGTTTCTTTCCTTGCTCACAGATATGCCGCATGCAGGAGGGATAATTTTCATGGTCGAACAGAAAACGTCAGAGCATACGAAACAATGGAATTTTAAAATGAAACTCGAGGAAATTACGTTCGTATTTGTAATTGAGGTCCGACAAAAAAAACACAGCGTAGAATTATTCAGATCGTATGCAAATAGATGAAAAGTTACAAATCGCTGTCGGGGATTTTTTAAGTACTTACCCTTCGTTGCTATGAACATTTCATTGTTTTTTTGGCTCATTATCTACTGAAATTTATTGTTTCGTATTTTCTTACTTTCGTATCGTATTTCGTAGTTGCCACTTTAAGTTGGTACACCTATCAATAATAAAAGAAACATTTTTTTTTAATTCCATCCAACATTTTAAAGACTTTTTTTTTACACTTAGAAATAATTTTTAATTAGTTTGTTTGTATACAATTGGATGGTTATATGCGGGGGTGGCTTATATGCGAGCTTTCAGCTCATCTAGGCCAAAAATACATTGTTAATATGTAGGTAATATAAAAAGAAAAAAAAAATACTTAGGTCTATAGGTTACTTATGCTAGCTATGTGTAAAAGAGAAGAAAAAACGAAATGTTTTAATTGTCGGGGTTTGGTGGTGGGTGGTTTGGTAGTTGGAGGAACATTTTAAAATGAATGAGGGACTTTTATATGCAACGTGAAGATAAAACATTCGTTTATTCGTTTTTTCGTGCAGTGAAGTGATTTGTTTAAGTGCATATATATTTGTGTCCTGTTACTCTGTTACTAATATTTATTTCTGTTCTTCTATCTCTGTTTATTTTCTTATTATTATTGTTGATGTTTTTTTTTTTTTTTGTAAACCTTAATCACAGAAGGCTGAAAGAGGCTAAAGCCCATAACAGTCTACATTTTTATATCACACCCTATGTTATTGCAGTACATATATCTAAATAATATTTTTAAATTGAATTGAATTGCATCGTGAAGATTCCGTTTCTTTTTTTGACTCATTACTAATACTTAGTGCGTATCATTTTCATTTTTTTTTTACACATATCAATATTAAATTGATGAAATTCCACCCAGAATTTTCGAAATAATTCATGATTTTGTTCTATACATTACTTGCTGTAAAGATTTTAATACTTTTATATTACTGGAAAGCCAAAAATGATACTAAAGTAATAAGTAACATATATTCTGCTTACGGAAAAGTTATCCAAATGAACTGAACGCAAGTAATTTGCTAAGTTTGGAGCTAGTAATTTCAGCATTAAAGATATGCTATTAATAATGATGAAATTAGCAAATACGTGAGTTATCATAACTTTAAAAAAATAAATACAGCTATCTCAAGCATTTTTTTTACTACCACACATAAATTGTTGGAGTCAAACAGATTTGTGATTTTCATCAGACAATGCAATTTTCGATTTCCACTTATTCGGGTCTTAAATTCCAGTAATTTTAAATTCATTAATTGTAAGAACGTTTAAATTTTAGTCAACAACATATATCAATAGGAAAAGGAACATTTTTGATAGTATTTCTTAATATTTTCAAATGAATATAAGATTTATACGCATAATTGATATAAAGATTCCGTTTTTTTTTTGCATTATTGTTTAACCACTAATATTTAGTGTGCATCCAATTTAACATCAACATTTTAAAATTTATTCAGATTTTTGTACACATTCGTTACAATGAAGATTTTGTTGTTTTTTGACTCATATACTAACATTTAGTGCCTACTTTAAGTTGGTAAACATATCAATAGTAAAAGAAACATTTTTTAAATATTTTTTTCAATTAATAAAGGATTTTTAATACGCATCATCCGTTGATATGGTGAATCCCTTATTTTCTTGATTCATTAAAAACATTTAGTACATATCATTTTTAAATTTTTACATTTATGAAATTTTACTCAACATTTTCGAAATAATTCATGCTTATATTTTATACATTAGTTGGTGGGAAGATTCCGTTGTATTCTTTCATTATATTTGCTATTAACATTTAGTGCGTATTTACGAAAATTCAACCATCGGAAAAAAATACATTTGTGAAATAAATTCCACCAAACGTTTTTCAATAAATAAATGATTTTTAATACAAATCTTTCGTTGATATGATAAATCCCTTGGTTTCTTGACTCATTATCTATTAGCATTTAGTGTATATCCACGAAAATTCAACCATGGGAAAAAGCATATTTGTGAAATAAATTCCACCAAACGTTTTTCAATGAATAAAGGATTTTTAATACGCATCATTCTTTGATATGATGAATCCCTTGTTTTCTTGACTCATTACTTACATTAACATGCATCATTTTTAAATTGGTACATATATCAATATAAAAAGAAATATATGTGAAATTCTACCAAACATTTTCAAATTAATTTATGTTTTTGTTTTATACATTAGTTGGTATGAATTCCGTTGTTTTCTAGACTCAATATCTACCAACATCTTCTATAAATTAATACATATAAAAACGTCTTCAGGTGATTTTTATGTAGACTAAAATTTAAACGTTCTTACAATTAATAAATTTAAGACCCGTATAAGTGAAAAAAAAAAACGCTTGGGATAGCTGTATTTTTTTAAATTTATGATAACTCACGTATTTGCTAATTTCATCATCATTAATAGCA